TGTTTTTCCTATTAACAAAGAAATACTTAACAGTCCTCCAATCCTTCATTGGGCTAGACCATTGCACCCCTCCACTGGACCACTGCACCACCAGAAGGGAGTGCCAAAATCCGGGATCGAAGGACGGGGAAGTATTTCTCAACAGCGACTTACGGCTCGTGTGCCCACAGAGAGGGCTCTGTGTGCCAGATGTGGCACGCATGCCATAGCTGCTTTAGAGGATGCAGATGTTAGCACACAGTCCTTTGTATCTCAGCCCCAATTTGTTGGTTTCTGGACTTGAACAAACACAAAATGACAGGCTCTCTTTTGAATGTCTACCCATGTTTCTCACAACTTCTGCTATAGCTGGCTTTAAAGCTCAACCGGTGTGGCCAGCTGCATGGGGTATGTGTGCTTGTAGTCACCATGTATCTAGGTCTCTCAGATTACACAATAATGAATTAGGCTGGTTTGGATGTAATGTTAGTTTAATGTTAGTATAGTTAGGAAGTTTCCTCTTCCATTTTTAGAACTGGTAGCACATCACCTAAACACAAACCATGCTTAATCTTAAGTATGTGTAATGGGAAAAAGAACCTCCAGTCACAGTTCATCCAACTGTCTTACTTTAGGTATAAACACATTCCAAAATCCATACCGAGGTGACACTTTTTTTTATTGGGCTAACAAAAAAGCATCAAAATGTAGACAAATTACTCTCAAAACAATGCATACACTTTTTGTGCCTAACAAAGGTATCATCGCCTCAGAATAGATTTTAGAATGAACTTTTTGGCAGTCATTGCTGTTTCTAGTCAGTTTGCGGTTCATGTATAGGAATCTAAAATTAATCTGAAACAAAAGCTTCTGATCTCATGACTGCGCTTGAAGAGGGAGAAAAGGAGAAAAATAAGTTCATTGGTACAAGGGTATATTATATTTCAGAATTACACCCAGATGTGGTGATTCCTTATACTCAACCCCACAAACTATAGCTGAATAGCCCAAGCAAAAGAGGGAGAATGTTCAGCCTGGAGCCTGTTAACCCAAACTGCCCCTCAAAGCCTACCCTCCAATATATTTTTATAGAATAGGTGGGACAGACCCTTGTTCCATGAACAAGACATTAGAAGTGGAGGAAATCCAGTCCCCGGGAAGGTAGTCTGGGGGCAAGCTGGTCTCTTGGCTGAATATGACTCCTCACCCTTAATATGTTCTACAGAAGGACCTCATAAAGAATTCATTTCAAAATCAGTCCTGAGGGGAAAGATGGTATTTTGAACTGTTATTTTCTCATACATTCCCCCTCACTTTCTATTCATTCAACCTACGGTATCCAATGACTGATCATACATATCTGGTCTAATAACGAATAATTGACAAGCCAAAGGATCAGTGGCAACCTTCATATTTGTAGACCTTGTACACACTGCAGACTGGGTTACCAAATATTTGGGGAATTGTTTTTTTTAAACATGAAATTACAGTCTTCAAACATTATGCCAAAATTTGAGTTCCCGCATGGATATTGAGTCTTTTTCTTGCATCATTATTTCTTACTGTCCTACATTTTGCCCATCATGGTTGGAAATCATGGTTAATGTTATGGACTTGACCAAAAAGTGAAGAAATGAAGCATCTCCAAATGTTTCTTAGCTCACACACAAAAAGTCAGAAGGATTTTTTAAAAAATCTCAGCTTAAAAGTAATCTTGGGTGAGAACGCGTAAAACAAGGCAGGGGGCTTAAAATACTGTTTGTGAGTTCAGTGGAAACAGCTAGTAAGAGGGGAACACTTACAAATAAGTAGCAGCCTGTGTTCCTGATGGCTAATCCATGGGGACCATAGATAGAATCATAGAAAAGTGAAGTTGGAAGGGACCTACAAGACCATTAAGTCCAACCCCATGCTCAATCCGGCCCTAGAGATCTGAACTTGTTCAAGGTGGTAAGGTCTTCCTTGACTATTTGTTTATCAATCTCCAGCTGCAATCCTGTCCAATTTGTTTCAAAGTTCATAGTCTGTCTTATGGGAAAAGGCTGAGCTAAAATAGGAATTGGGCCCCTCTGCCTTTTCTTTGTCCTCTGTTATCATTGTTCATCTCCATTGCGGAGCTCTGCCACTATTTCTTTTATCTGTCTTTTGCTAGTCACATAACTGAAGAGTGCTTTTTTATTGCTTTTAGTGTCTTTAGCTAACCTGAGCTCATTCTCAGCTTTTGCCCTCCTAATGCCATCCCTGCATTTCCTTGCTACTTGTCTGCACTCATCCTTGGTGGCCTCACTTTCTTTCCACTTCCTGTACATGTCTTTTTTGGGTTTTAGGTCCTCTCTGAGCTTTTTGTGAAGCCACACTGGCCTTTTTTGCTGCCTCCCCCCTTTTTTCTTGTTGGAATTCTTGTACAGTACTTGTGTCTTTAGCGTTTCTTCTTTTAGAAGCTCCCACCCTTCTTGGACTCCTTTTAGGATCACCTGCCATGAGACTTTCCTTATTTTTGTTCTGAGATTATTAAAATTGGCTTTTTAAAAAATCCAGCAGATGTGTGTGGCTTCACTCTGCTTTCATTTCCTTTGAAATCAAGAATTCTAGAAGGACATGGTCACTCTCGCCTAGATTTTCCCTTACTGCCACTTACGCCACCTCTGTTGGTCAAAATCATCAAGGATAGCAACTCCTCTGGTTTCTTTCTCCACTTTTTGTAGGAGAAAATTTTCAGCCACAAAAGCCAGGAATTTCTTGGAAGGGCCATACTTGGCAGAATTTGCCTCCCAACATATATCTGGATAGAATCTTTGGCCTCTAACCTTGTTCATAAAGGACACAAAAGCAGCTGCTATGCCTCTAGGTAACCCTACTCTTCCTCATGCTGCCTTTGTGACCAGAGGACTAAGGCTATTTCAGATGCAATGTGGCTTGGTGAAGCTGTGGATTCACTGAGGAAGACCTTGTGAATCTGACCAGCAACGGTGTGGTACCTGTTCATAATTGCTCCTGTTTGCTCAATTCCAGAACACTCAACTCTTGCTTTAAAGAAAATGTCCTGGCCAGCTTCATATATTGAAACCTACAGTGTCAATACTGCTCACTTCTCCTAGCATAAATGAAAACAAGAATTGTGTAGCACCCATGCACACCCAATCTCTTATTCACATCACACATTTCAGCCTGTTTCAACAGATTAGGGCTTGTTCACACAACACCAAGAATACGTCATTATTTGTTTTGAACCAACCCTCAACTCAAAGATTAAAAATTACAAATACAAAAGAGACTAAAATCAATCAGTTCCATCTACACAAAATTAGTTCCCCCTAATATCTGACAGTAGGTGAAATACAAACTTATTATAAAAAAGGATTAGAGAATTCAGCCAACTGTTTACACTACTTAATGTTAAATTTTACTGTTAAGAGCTGCCCTATATGACAAAAGCTATTATTATAAATATAATAGGAAAGAAACTTTAGAGCCCATCAGTAGCTTCCTAACCAATGTAATTTTTCAGCTAGAGGAGTAGCAATTTTTCTAGTTCAGATAAGCTTAAAAATGGAAGAGTATGAACAAAGATGGGTGCAAAAAAGGTAGTGAACAAACTATTTTTGTTCAGCACTACAGATGTGATTTATATTAATCTCGAGTTTCAAAAGAAGCCACCTTTCCACCAAACTAGGATTCGCTAAAAGCCTACATCCCCCCCCCCATAAAATACAAGGAAAAATAGAGTCCCAATTCTTCATTTTAAAGTTGTGTTTACTTTCCATTTTTGGGGCATTCTTTAGGAAAACCTAAATCTGCCTCTTATCTGAACCTTATTTAATGACAGCAGAGACCTCTCTTCAGACAGAAAGAAGTCTAGTCCTTCTGGAATATATACTCCTTTAACAAGGCAGTGAAGCGCCATTCATTCTCATCCATCAAGAAAGATGGTAAAGTTTGCACAGATTTGACCAGAGTAGTCTCCACTACTCAACTTAAAACATCTATGAAAACCCTTCAAGCTCTTCTCTTAAAGAAAGTCGAGAGTGAATCAAGGTTGTATTTTTGTAAAATGTTAATAATGGAAAGTATCTTAGCAGGAAACAGGAAGTATACTGAAACACACACAAACAAAAATCAAGAAGAATAACTAGGAGGACAGTTTGTTAACTTCACCCTAACATTCATGATAAATTCTATAACAAAATCTTCCCAAGCAGACTACTTTTGCAGTTCAAAACATGTCTGAAGGCTTCAAACTGTATGAAAAAAAAACTCTTTTAGTGTGTACTTTGCGCACCTGTAATGTGAAAGGCTCAACCCCAAAGTAAGTCAAAAGAAAAAAATACTGTTAGAAATATTTTCCCCACTGCTTGTAAATCAACACTGATCAAAATGATCAGGAACCTAGTATGGCTTTCATTTATTTTCTACTGACTATTTTTCTTGAGCAGCTTCTCTCAGTGTATTTAGTGAAGACATAAGGAGAAGCTGGCACTCCAGGCACATTACAGTGTGAACAGTCCTGCTGGATCCATTCTAATGCCAAACCTACAAAGGTTCAAAGTAAAAGCCTATTACGTACAGCTACAGATGCATAAACTCTCTTTTACAGACCGTTACTAAAAACCTGAATATCAGAGGCATAGAGACAAGGGGCAGGGGAACAATGGAGGAACAATGGTGAGTTTGCTGATTTTACAGGGGAAACCTTTGGAAAACAGCTTTCACATGGCTGTGAGCTGAACAAGAAAATAATTATTGTCAGAGAAGTAGGATTTTGAAAATGTAATTGAATTATGTGTCCAAATTTTTTAAGAATACCACTTCTGTAATCTTTATGTTAACCAAAGCTAACTGTTCTAGAAGAAAAAAACCAAAGATGTTTCCCTTAATTTGTCAAAAGGGCAAAAATATACCTTATTCTTTGCCTCTCCCCTTCATTCAAATATTTCAAAGATTAATTTTAGCAATACCATCTTTCTCATGAACAGCGCTTCATCATTTTAGAAAATGCAATTCTCTTATTTATATCTACTTACATGAAAAACTGGGAACCATTGGTATGTTTCCCTCGGTTTGCCATTGACAAAAGAAATGCTCGATCATGTTTCAGAATAAAGTTCTCATCTGTTTCAAAAGAGAGAGAAGAAACCAGAGCGTAGTCAGCTACTGTGACCTTAAGTACTCAGAAAGATCAATATAACTAACAAGGAGGAAATATCCAGCTGCTCACTAGGGAAACTTGGAAATATAAAAGCAATCTACCCAAAAAGGCTCGAGACCGGTTTGTACAAACAGCAACAGGACTGCTATTTAAAGAAGATTTGGTAGTGCTACCTTGGACATTTAAAAGCTTTCTTTAAAAAAAGTAGCAAAACATTTGTTATCAAGTTGCCTTTACGGCATCAGAGCATGGGTCCCCAATCTTGGGTCCCCAGACGTTCTTGGCCTACAACTCCCAGAAACCATGGCCAGCACAACTAGTAGTGAAGGGCTTCTGGGAGTTTCAGTCCAAGGACCTATGGGGATTCAAGGTTGGGAACTACTGGCCTAGACTAACTCTGTTCTGGGAAACGGCATCCCTCCCAAGCTTTCAAGCCAAGAATTGCTCAGGCTTGCAACTCAAAAACCATTTCTCAATGTGGCAATGACCTTGTATATGCACAGTATGTGCACTGCCATAGAATTTGTCCTTATTCACAGTCTAAGCCTATTAAATGAGGAGGAACAGTAGGAGTTACAGAATGTTTTCTACAAGGCAAGAGCATTTGTGGCAGCTAAGGCTCACTTTTTTCCTCCATAAAATAAAAACAGCAAGTCTGACTACCTGAAGTATACACATCCTGCACACAAGACACCCCTTTCCCCATGGGACTAAATAATATACAGTGGTGCCTCGCTTAACGAGCGCCCTGTTTAACAACGAATCCGCATAGCGATGTGGATTTTGCAATTGCAAAAGGGATCACATTGCGATGGTTTAAATGGCCAAAAATCACATTGCGATGTTTTAAAAACAGCTGATAGGTGGTTCCAAAATGGCCACTGGAAAAAAAAAGGCCGCCCGCAGCATTTTCGCGCGGTTTCCTCCCATACCGGGCGGCGAAAATGGCGGCCGTATGGAGGATTTCCACATAGCGGTGAGTTTTTCCCCATAGAAAAGCATTAAACATGTTTTAATGCGTTCCTATGGGCTTTTTAGTCCCGCATAGCGATGAATCCGGATTATCGCTATGCGGGGCACCACTGTACTAAGAATAAGCTTTCCCAGTGACATACATACTAACTACAACCAAGGTCAAGGCAGATTACTTTACTGGGGTTTTGGGATCCTTCTGTTTATAAAACTTGCTTTGAACTGTAGGTTGGATATTAAATGTGCTGATTATAACTGGTATGTATGTCAGCCATATCTAATTGAAGTCCCACAGATTTAAATGGGTCTGCTCTAAGCATGATCCAAATTAATGTCGTTACCATTTATGGAGAAGGCTATTCGTCAAACATTCATTTCCCTCACCCCACAACACATCCTCATGTATTTTGAAAAATAATAAAAGAGTAATCACATTTGCTTATGCCTACAGCAATAGTTTATCAGCTAAAAGCTCTTTCAATAAACAAAAGGGAACATCAGGTCTTCATTTTACCTTCAGTATAGACAAATTACATGTTCAAAGTATTACGTTAAGTTTCTGATGAGCACAGAAGTGTTGAATAAAATTAATTGCAGTCAGCAGAAAAATTCCAAAGGTAAACAGAGTCATAGGAACAAATACCAGAATATTTTTTACTTACCTCTCATAAAATCTTAGAGAAAAAGAACCAAAAACCTTTAAAATATGGATTTATCAACACACTACCAAGATCTGCTGATATCTACTAGTATAAAGTGTCCTCAGAACTTAATGTTTATACCATGCGCCTTATTGAAAAATAATGCAAACTGAACACTATACTCAATGCAACCATTTTCAGTACAGTTCAGTATCGGTTCAGATTCTATGAAAACCCTTGATAGAAGTCATTCATAAATACATGAGATAGCATACACTAATCTGTTGCTGCCATGAAAAGTACATGCTGAAAGAATCTGGAAGTCTAGTATACATACGAACCTTGGAAGGAGGGGGGAAAGGGAGGAACATAGATGTTTCAGAGAGAATTATTTAGAATCCTAATTACTTCTTTGTCCAATGAGAAGACCACCTTAGACCTCTCAAATTAACTTCAGGTTTATCACCAAGCTACATTTACCCAGCCACAAATTCATTATCAGTGGTCCATGTATTTATCAGAAAGGGTGCAGGGGAACAGTTTGAATTTGTGTTGAGCTTGTGTCTCTTACCTTTTCATTTTGCAAAAGACCACATTCTCTATAAACAAAAGAATATGTTGACAGTTTTAGGCAGGAAGACAGGAGTTGTCATGAATCAAGTTGCCTAGCCTCCATGCTGAAGTCATGTTTAACCACTACATTAGCCGCAGTAAACTGACCATTAACACTAAGGTTACAATTTCATATATTTAAAACTCATGCACATAGATAAACTTCATGCAATATTACTTTCATGCAGAAGTGATATACATAGAACTTCTTATTAAATGTATCAGGAATCAAAACTTTTAAAAATAAAGCAACAGATCATCAAGAAGTATTAGACCTTACCTTTAAAATATCCTCCATAAATTGATTCACCTCCTTTTCCATTACCTAGTATTAAAACATACATATATATGTAGACATAAATCCTTAGAAGATATATTTTAAAACTTGAATTCTTCACAAAGTCACTATCTAGAAACAGATACACAACTGAACAAAAGCCAGTTCTGAACCCTTGCTTTATGGAAGTTATTTCATAATCAATCCAATTATTCTTTTAAACCCTTGCTTTATGGAAGTTATTTCATAATTATTCTTTTAATCTTGAAATGCATAGTTTATACCCAACCTGGGATTAACCTCTCTGTGCGAGGCACCACTGCACATAGTTTATACCCAACCTTATGGCAGCATCGTTTTACAAAAATTACAACACTTAATGGATCTCCCATCAAAACCATGCTATCATTACTTGGCATAAAGAACACATCATGGGTTACTTTACTTTTTTGCTCCCAATTGGTCACCTCCTCTCCTGTCTCTCAAAGGGGACAGGAAAAGGGGGGAAGCCCCAAAAGAACACAGCACATGCATGATGGTTTTAATAACAGTTGCAGGTGATTCTAAAACACATGGAAATATGACACTTATTTTGTCAAAACCACTACATTTCTCAAAGCATGCAATTGCCCCAACATGAATTCTACTTTGCTTTCAAGCAAATTAATTATGAATGCCCAACTTTCATTCAAGTAAGCCTTCAGTGCAGGACAAAGACAGACATTTTGTAGTAAGGATTAAGAAAGCACCAGGGACCAAGAGGAGTATTAATGATTAGAGCAGCAATGGACATTCAGATCCCAGTTCTGAAGATGTTACTTCTTAAGGGTCACCCGAGAACCTTTCAGTCTGGTTCCGATACGTGGATGACACCTTTCCAATTTGGAGCCATGGTGAAGAAAAACTGGAAGAATTTCTAAACCATCTCAACAGCATCTACCCAAATATACAATTCACCATGGGGGAAAAAAATAAGAGGGCCAACTCCCTTCCTTAGATGTCATGGTCATACACAACTCTGACCTTCTATTGGGATACAAGATCTACAGAAAACCCACTCACCTACACGAAAACACAATCCACCACCCATGACAAAAAGAGGCTTAATCAAATCACTGGTAGACCATGCAAAGCGGAACTGTGAAGCTCAATTTTGCAGCACCGAACTGAACCATCTGAATTGGGCCCTACATGCAAATGACTATTCCAAGAATGTAACCAAAAGAGCCATCAAACCAGGAAAACAATACCAAACGGAAGAAGAAAAACAGCCACTCACAAATAAAGTATTTCTGCCATACATCAAAGGGGTCACAGACCACATGGGAAAACTTTTGAAGAAACACAACCTACAAACAGTATTCAGGCCCACCACAAAAATACAACAAATGTTACAGTTAGCAAAGGACAAAAGGGACCCCTCACCACTCCAGGAATATACCGGATACCTTGCAGTTGTGGCCAGGTATATACTAGGACCACAAGACACAGCATCCAGACCAGAATCAAAGAACATGAAAGACACTGCAGATTAAAACAACTGGAAAAAATCGGCAGTAGCTGAACATGCCCTGAAACAAGCTGGACATGAAATCCTACTTCAAAATACTGAAATACTGGACAACACCAGCAATCATTATGTTTGAAATGAAATCCACAAATGTTAGCACAGCTTCAACAAAAAGTCTAAAACTAAACAAAGCCTGGCTCCTAGCACTGAAAAATACAGCCTGCAAAAAGGTCAACAAATTCTACCCAGCCACAAGGATTGGTGATCACTGCACACACAAGACTAGCTAACGACACCCATCAATCACAGGGACAGATAATCTCTCCCCCTTATCAAAACTTAGAATCTCATCTTAATATTTCATTTTTAACATGGGCATAACTGATGCTTTCATTGGAAATATTTAAATATTTTAATTATAACACAAATACTCTGTTTAATGGGGATGGAAGGATTACTTTTCTTTTTCAAGATGTACCTTCACTGAAGTCTCCACCTTGTATCATGAAGTTTTTAACCACACGATGAAATGTTGAACCTTTGTAGCAGAGTTTTTTCCCAGTCGTTTTGCCAATTCCGTTTTCACCTACAGGATAGATATATATATAATTTACTAGCTTAAAAAACTGGAATCAGTAATACTGCTGTCAGGCTAAATAAAAATAAAAACATTGAATCCCTGTAGATAAGCAGCAGTCTGTCTTAATCAAACACCAGAATTATTCAACTATGAGTACCAATATACTGGGAATCTTCTAATTTTCCTTTCTCTTTTTTCTCAAAGCTTTCATATTGCAAATGTGTGGTGGCTGATTTGTTCGGCATTCAGTGACCACAAAAGCAACCTGTGCCAACACTTGAGAGATGATATTCCCCTCTGACATTCTCTCCAGAATGAGTTTAAGAGAATTTAAATAGGACCCCGATGACCTGGACATAAGGGAGACTTTAAGCTCCCATGTGGCCGTTTCCTTTTCTTTTCAACGAAACATGTGGATAGGGAAAAGATGGACAAAAGCCCAAAATGGCCCCTTATTTTTCTATGGCAACTATCAAGAGGAAAAATATACCATCCCAGCAGCAAAATAACACTGAATGACATCCACGTTTTTTCCCCTGTTTGTTTATACATTCTGGTCCAGCCAGATGGAAGAGTAACCCAAAGTTTAAAACCCAATTCCACAGAGGACTACCTCTTGTGATAACAGTGTAATGCTGAAAAAGCATGACATCTGCTTTGCATCCCAATAAACAGACAAAATCAGAGGCTGGAGGAGGACTTCTAATCTGCCACCTTACAAACATAATTTCATAATTTTGAAGAGACTTGTGGATGTTAGGGAAATGGAAAGCAAGCACGATGGCAGTCTAAACACATCCACTGATGGCAAGCATGGTTCTCCTCTTAAGGTGAGGATGCTTCTGGAAAGAACAGGTAGGGGCTTGTCTCTGACCTTATGTTCTGTTTCCAAGCATCCATAGCAAATCAGCCAAAACACGTGAGCTTTAATTTATGCCACAGATTACATTAAAAATTACAGTTATTCACAACATGACAAATCAAGTTACCTGTACATAGGCTGAGAAAGTTTTTGCAAGTCCTTGGGCACACATCAGAGAAAAGCTGAAATACAATACGACCAACTGCAATACAACAAATAAAATAGTTACTTTCCACTTTCATGATATCTAGCTAGTACACTTTCCTTGACGATTGCACTTAAGATGATTTTACTATAGATAGAAAGAATAAGTTTAATTTCATATGTTTTAAAATTTTAAACATGTTTGCTCTTCTGCACTCAGTCTCTTAGACACACATACACTAAGGCAAATATGAAGGCTTAATAATCTCACATTCTGTATCTCTAGAAAGAAAGAAACAAATTAAAAAAGGAAGACAAGAAGACATTGAATACGTAGATGTGTTTAGCAGCCATTTTTTTTATTCCCACACGTGACTGGGGAGATAGTGGATACCAGGGATGGAACTTTCATATTTCACAGATATCCATCCCCATAATTACGTGGTAACTCCCCAGGCCAAATTATAAGAGTTAAAAGGAAATAACAGCATGAGATGGAACTGGCCCTCTATCTGCAGTTCCTCTGGTGACCGAGAAAAGCATCCTGTTACTGTGTGGGAATCATGGGACTCCTTGGGACTTATGAAGCCCCATGGGAGGGCAAGTTCTCAGAGGCTGCCCCCATGTGGCTATGGGGCTTTCACTCACATAATGTGGCCTAGGGGCCCCTGCCCAGTTATGGGGATGGATATCCCTTAAATGCAAAAGTCCCACCACCCTTCTGCTTCTGTATTTTTATACAGAGTAACATTGATCAAATATGCAAATTATAAATTGCTATGCCTTATTTAAAATAAGTTATTTCCCAAATTATTTTCCAGAGAGTAGACCATGCACATTCTAAGAGTCATTACAGTGTAGTGGATAGCATCTCTCCTGGACTCAGAAGACCTGGGTTTAAATTTCTACTCAGCAATGGAAACACATTGGCACTCAATGGTAAGCTATTTCTTGAATGTCTCACATATCCTAAAATAACTGCACATTTCCTGAAATCTAATGCTAAAAAACTGAACACAGGTCTGTTGTTCAGAGCTCACTCCTCTGCATCTGTCCAAGCCAAGAAATAGCAAGACTAGAGACTAACCCCTGCCTTGCCATTCTTTGCTGGCCCTTGGCAGGTGTTGAGTGTGCATACAATAATCATAAGTTCTAATATTACTACTCTGCATATTTGGGAAGACTAGTGAGGGATTGGCAGGGTCACCGCTGCAACATTCAAGAACAGTCAACAGCTTACACTAATTCTATACTTATTTCTGTTCCCAGCTGAGCAAATCCTTGGTAGCAAGCAGCACGTTCCCAAGTGATATAAAACATTTATCAGTGAGCACTGTCAATTGGAGACAAAGTGGGGAAAAAGCTATTTTCAGATCAGTGTGAGATTTTTTAAAATACCAAGACTCAGTAAACTCTACTCAGGAACTGAGAGTTCTGAGGGTTGGAGAGGGTTGAATTACATCAAAACACAAAGACCTCAAATTCATGTCACTTCCAGTTCAGTTCATTATTCATTTCATTACACCACCTAAACAGCCAATTCCAAGTTCTTCTGATAGACTGCAATAAAAGCTAGTCTGTAATATATTATCAAATTATTAAAATAAAACACTCCGAACAAATTTTAAGAAGGGAAGCATATCCAAGACTTTCCCTTAAAAGCAGCATAACAAATCTTGGCACAGAAATATGCTATAGCACAATATTAATTTTAGAGTTATTTTTTGAAGTTATGTATATTTTTTCCTGCTAGAGAACTCAAGAGAACCAAGAACTAAATTCATTGAAATTGGTACTGATCACTATGCTTCACAAGCACAAGGAACTGGCAAATGAAAAAAAAAACCCAGCCAAGCCAACTCATGCCTTTGCTTCAGGAGTATTATGTTCTCATTGCTTGGGATTTGTAGTACAATTCAGGGCTATCCAGAAGTTGGCTGTACCATGTTCGATGGAAGCTAATCATAGATAAATGTGTGTATGACTACCAGCCTTAATTCTTGTCAAGGCTGGCAGAGTTCAGATCTACTTTGCTGTTCACTAGGATCCCAAGATTCATCAGCTGACCACCATTAAAAAAGAAACCACACATTTATGACTGCAATCCTGTGTGCTTACTTAAGAACCCATTAGCTGAAATCCAGTACTGTATTAAGTCACAAAGAGATTAGGCCAACCAAATCAGTGGGGATTTATTGAGCCAACACGTCAGTAGTCCCACTGATTCAGTTGCAACTTACTACTGGACTTCAGCCTATACAGCCTTTTTAGTAGCTATGCCCAGGATGGCACTGTTAGAATTAGTGAACTTGTAGTTCTTACACATAAATTCTACTTCTCTCACATTATCAGCTTTCTTGACTTCTATAATATATTTTGGGAAAAGGAGCAGGGAAAGATAAAGAGTTATCCTGTTAAACAATTACAGTTGAATATCTTGCTGATCTACAAATAATACAGGGGTTTTTTAGTAGCTATGCCCAGGATGGCACTGTTAGAATTAGTGAACTTGTAGTTCTTACACATAAATTCTACTTCTCTCACATTATCAGCTTTCTTGACTTCTATAATATATTTTGGGAAAAGGAGCAGGGAAAGATAAAGAGTTATCCTGTTAAACAATTACAGTTGAATATCTTGCTGATCTACAAATAATACAGGGGTAGATTTCCTACTCTATAGTACTTGAGCTTTATTTTTATTGCTGAAAAATAAAAAGATCAATTTGGGAAAAGGAGCAGGGAAAGATAAAGATTTACAGTATCTTGTTAAACAATTACAGTTGAATATCCTTGCTGATCTACAAATAATACAGGGGCAGATTTCCTACTCTATAGTACTTGAGCTTTATTTTTATTGCTGAAAAATAAAAAGATCAAATGACTGTGATTCTATATCTGCCTCTATCAAAGTAATCTAATGTTACTGCTTCCCCCTACAGTTAGCAGCTTTATGTTGTATGCTTTTAAACTACAGTATGTTTGTTAAACCAGCTTTGTGGATCCTTTTGGTTAGAACACTGGAGTCCAATACTTTAAAATAAAGAAAATAAATTCTTGCAGTGTTCTTTCAAAGGGAAGGGGATCTATATGTCCTTTTACAGTTAATAATTCAGATCTTTCTAACATCTAAACAGGTTAAAGAACCAGTACGTCTAACTAGTAAGGGCAGGAAGATGACAAGGATTAATCAAGATAAGACAAAGGTGCTTCTGGTTGGCTGAAAGAAAGCTCCAGGGATTCAACTCTGCTGAATGGGTTACAGTCCTCCTGAGAACTCTGGTTTGTAGCTTTGGTGTTCTCCAATATTCATCTCCGTGCGTGTGCACTGATGTTTCAACAGTCACCAGGGAGGCACTTGCAGAGTTAAAGCTAGTGCACCAGCTCTGCCCATTTTCTTGACGTCTGATCTGCTTATGGTGTCACATTCCTTAGTTCACCAGGGAGGCACTTGCAGAGTTAAAGCTAGAGCACCAGCTCTGCCCATTTTCTTGACGTCTGATCTGTTTATGGTGTCACATTCCTTAGTTACTGTATATCCTACTGGGATTATTGTGATATGCTTTATGTGGGGGTTCCTGTTGAAGAGTGTTTAGAAACTTCATCTGATTCAGAAGGCTGCAGCCAAACTACTGACGTGGGTTGGTTACAAAGGACATGCAACTACCATGCTGCTGTAATTCCACTGTATATGACAAATATGGCTTCAATCCAGGCTACTTGCATTTCCACATATGTGCTTCTTCAGGTTTTTAAATATTTAAGTGGGGAGCCTTCCCCCAGTTCCACCAGCCTGTCAGACCTGTCTGGTGACTACTGTACTCAAAAGGAGGAGCTTTTCAAATGCCACTCGCAAGTCGAAAAACTCACTTCCATGTGTGGCTAGGCTGCTCCCACTCTGCTTTCTTTTTATCAGCAGACAAAGACCTTTCTTTCTAGACACACATCTGGCCAGTGGTAAGGGAGCAGAAAAAACATTTTTATCAAGAGATGCTGTAGTTTTAATTTATTTTAAACTGTTCTTTATAACAAAAACTAAAGAACAGTTTTGTTTATTAAATTGTTTTATATCGTAGGAAATTAACAGCCCACCAGATACAGAACAGCTACCACTTCCATCATATTTCACCACTAGCCAGGCCAATTAGGGATTACCGTGTTTCCCTGAAAATAAGACAGGGTCTTATATTAATTTTTGCTCCAAAAAACACATTAGGGCTCATTTTCAGGGGATTTTTTTCCATGTATAACAATCTACATTTATTCAAATATAGTCATGTCTTCTTCTGGTTGCTGCACAATGGTGGAGGGTGGGGTTTCATTTAATTGAGGCTTATTTTTGTGGTAGGGCTCATATTACAAGCATCCTGAAAAATCATACTAGGGCATATTTTCAGATTAGGTCTTATTTTCGGGGAAACAGGGTAATAAGAACTGAATTCAATGATACCTTGAAGACCTCAGATTCCTCATGCTTGTGTCAATCTTATTTTTGGGGAAACAGGGTAATAAGAACTGAAATCAATGATACCTTGAACACCTCAGATTCCTCATGCTTGTGTCAAGTTAGAATGTATAAGGATGAAGATTTCAGGAGTCAGAAAACGCCACACATGCAATACCTCTTACACACATGATTTTTCCACCCTTTTCTCCCTCCTAAGAGAATGAATCATCAGCCACTCAAAAGTTCATCTGGAGTTTCTTCTGCACTCTTGTGCTCTTCCAGAGAAATGAATCCTTAATAAAGCCAGCAACTATGAAATCCCAAAAAGGATTGTCATACACCCTTCATACAGTGTGCTTTTTGTATATTTGGGCTGAAAAGTGGGACATAAATATAATGAATCATCATTTACCAATATCATGGACAACTGTTCTTTAAACATCAGGCAAATACACACTTGAAGGGACTATCAAGTATCATGAACATTAATGACATGGCTCTGCACAACTCCAAGTTATTTTTCCATCCTACCAGCCACTATATATCTGCCTCATTATAATGGGTATGAAGTAAATATTTTAACATACAAACATCAAGTCTGCATGTCTCTGACCAAAATCCCTCCTTACATGGAATTACACTATTAACTTTTCTCCTCTAGTCACCTAGACAAATCTCATCTTATTAAAGCAAGAATTTTGTACCATTACCTCACAGTTTATTTACTGTTATGAAAATGCTGTAAGACATCATACATACATTTGAACAAAACTAATGTGGTCAGATATTAAATAAAGCCCATGATTATCTTCCTAATGCTGTGCTGGAGAGAAAAAATATAATTCCATACCAATATAAAATGAAACAACTATGTACAGTATCTGGCAACTATTCTAAGGCAACATGCTGGCTGTGTGTAATTCTCTTTCAAGGCCTGATGTCATATAAGCAGAGCCAAACATCTTTTTGATAAAACACCAGTCTTTTAGAAACACAAAGCCTTACCTGGTTCTCGATTGATTTCTATGTCGAAGAAACACTGAGGCCGATCCTGTGCCCCCATGGCAGCAGGAAGCCTGAGAGCTTCTCCTTCTCACCACCCTTTAAAAAAAGAGATGCACTTCAGAATTGAAGAAACTCAGTATTAGCTGTACCTTTACTGAGAAGAAGGCTATTTATTGTGCTATGGTTGCCAGTTCAAGCTAGCAATCTTGCCAGCAGAAAGGGGGAGCAGAGTGCCAAGACTGGAAACAAACCACCACCCACATGCCAAAGGAGCCAAACAGTAACTAGTCACGTGTATTTCATATGAGCCAAACGGAAATTAAAAGTTCTATTTATACTGAGGCTCTGTCATCAGCAGATAGTGGGCAGAGATCACAAAAGCAGATAATCTAGAACTATAACCATCTACTAGGGAAAGAATTTAATATTGGGGGGAGTTAACCTCTACTTGGTTCCCTTTAGCTTTTACATAAGGAAAAATAAACTTACCCCCGTTTATGTCAGAAGTAGTAAGAGATGAACCCTGCCAATACTAGCAGTATAGGACTTCAGGCTAGAGAACAACAGGCTTCATTGAGCCCATACAGCATCTCTCAATAACTCATGCAACCAAACTTCTCAAAGATTTTAAAAGAAAGAAATGTTCTTCCCTACATTTCTTGGCTCCTTCATTTGCTAATGGAAGAGCAGACTGTTGTGTGAGGGAAATATTCTGCAACTATGGTCAAGTTCCCACATAATGAAATAACAAGGGTTCTTGGCTTGTTTTTCAAGCTGATAAACACTTGCAGCAGGACCAGCCAAATAAAACATGAACCAATAGTTTATCATGATTTCTAAGTCAGGAGTTAGTGCTCTGACTTGTCTTCTCAAGTTCATTCACTGGCTTGTTCAAGGATATCAAGCACAGGAGTTATTCTGTAATTAAAACCAATTTAAATCATGGTTTTAAATTAAATTTTAAATTAAAAATAGATTTATCTTTGACAATTTAAATTAAAACATCAATTTTTTTGACTTAAATTGTGATTTAAATCATTTTTTTAAAAAAAATCATTCATTTTTAACCACCATGGACTTTTGTTTGCGGCTTGTTCTGCCTTTCTGTTACAAGCAAAAACCCCTGGTCAAACACCAGGCCAATATCTAATCCTTGACAAACAGGAATGTTGAAAAATTGAATTCAAATATTGCTGGTGCTTGAAAACACATGTTTAAACATTTTCTTATGAATTTTACATTAGAAAGAGGATGACAGCCTCTTTTCTCTCTATCCTCAATTTATTGGGGGCTTACAAATAAACAAACAAACAAATAAATAAAATAGTTCCACTAGTAAGGATACTATAAATCTATAGGATAGAACCACTGACATACAAAAATATTTTTAGCCGTCTTTCTTCTCATGTGGTCTCAAGGTGGATCACAAACAGTTAAAAGAGAATAATCACAATTTAAAATGCCACAAGAGATAACAAAGCACATAATATTAAAACCCACAATTAGAAACTCTTTAAAAATCCTTAAATCTTAACATACAAATTCTTGATCCTAATGTCACTTTCATAAACGAGAGGAGGAATGGGGCTGTTTTGAAGATAAAATATGACCATAAGCAACTATTTATTTAAAATATTTTTACTATGCTTCTCTCTTTAAAAAGGACCCAAGGCAGCTTGCAACACTGAAAGACAATATTTAAAGCTGAAAACAATGAGAACACGGTGGTGGTTCACATCATTAAAGGGCCATATTTAAAGATAAGAACAATGAGTATAAAGAGGCAGCTTACATCATTAAAAGACACTGTTAAAGCTAAAACAAGTATTTGAATACTAAAAAGGAACACACAAATACTACAAACTGCGTCCTTAGGAAACATTAAAACAGAAAGCACCAATGCTTATTTTTTAAAAAATTGTTAACTTTGCACATGGAAAGGTGGTGGACTTTTTAAAAAATTAAACAGTGATTTAAATCAATTAGATTTTGTTAAAAACCACTGATTTTTACCCACACTGCATAAGGACTTAGGCTGAATCTCTAGCATCTCCAGACAACAGCTTGCTGTCTGCTAGCAAAGGACTCTGTCTGAGGCCTTGCTGAGCTGCTGCCACGCAAAATAGGTGGACATTACTGGTCTAGACTGGCTCAGTATCTGACCACAGACAGCAGGTGTGGACTGACTTCAGGCTAAAGAGTTGCTGACCTCAGGCTCTCCTTAGGTTGTTTTTTTTTTTAATCCATTCTGTCAGAGCATTTGTAAAACAGTGGCTCAGGAAGTGAAGGCTAACTGCACTGGTAATAATGTTACAAGGAAATAAATAATCTTGAAGGACCTTAAAAAACATGACAAATCTTACTCAGTTTCTTTATTATTAGCCAAAACAGTAGCTTGCTGTCCTCAAAAGTTTATCTCAAATAAAAAAAAAACTCTTTCTTAACAGGAGCTGGACTCCATGATCCATAGGATGCCTTCCAGCTCTGCAATTCTAAGATTTGATTTTTTTTAATCCCAACTTTCTCCTTTAAAAAGGACCCCAGGGCAGCTTACACCTTTAAAAAAAAAAACAATATTTACAGCTACAAAAAGAGTGAGCATACAAATACTTAAAAAGGATCAAACCCATACCATTCTAAGAAATGATAAAGAAAAGCAACACAAAAAACCCACATTTAAATCAACAACTGTCCCATTAAAAATAAATTTTAAAAAAACTTCAGGCAGCCAGCCCATCATTCAGGATCTTTTTAATCTAAGTTCTATGCTTTCACAATGCAATATGGATGATGATGATGATATCTGAGGTTCCACAGCTGTCTTTAGGGCGAATCATGCCCAGGAAGACCCACCGAGGATGCTGTGGGTCCCTAAGAGAGGTAACCTCACAAGCCCCTTTCACACCTCAATGGGGACCGAAATCTGGGGGGGAGCAAAAAAAGGGCCAGTTTTGGAAGTGAGCCCCCTGCCCGCACCCCCGTCATTCCACACCAGCCCCTTGCAATCTGGGGATGGGGGCTCCTCCCTCCTGGCCTCCCTCGTCCCGACAGCCTTGCAGGGCAGGACAGGCAACCACCAGATTAAAAAGAGAGTTTTTTGTGGGGGGAAAGAGGGGGGAAGTGGGGGAAAGCGAGCCAAAGAGGCTCCCCCACCAAGGACAGGGGTGGCAGGAGAGCTCTGAGACGTCCCCGGTTTCGGCCCTTCCTGAGGGAGGACCTTCTTTCTTTCCTTCCTTCCTTCCTTCCTCACTCCCTCAGAGGAAGGCCGGAGGGGGGGGGAAGAGCCCAGGAAGCGCCCTCCCTTCACCGCCCCCTCAGCTCGGGCTCCTTACCTGGCCGCCGCGCTGACTCAGGCGACAAGGGCGCTCTCCTTCCTTTCCCGCTCCC